CATGATTATTTCAATAGATGCAGAAAAAGCATATAACAAAATTCAGCATTCATGTTCAAAACACTGGAAAAACTAGAAATAGCAGGAACATATCTCAGTATCATTAAAGCCCTATGCTAAACCAAAAGCCAAAGTCATTCTAAATGGAGAAAAATTGGAACATTCCGTCTAAAAACTGGAACAAGACAGGGAAGCCCTCTTTCACCAACTCCTATTCGACATAGATCTTGAAACCCTAGCCAGAGCAATTAGACGAAAGAAATTAAAAAGATACGAATAGCAAAAGAAGAGCTCAAATTATACCTATTTGCTGATAACATGATCCTATATTTAGAAGACCCACAAAACTCCACTAGAAAGTATCTTGAACTCATAAATGGATTCAGCAAAGTAGCAAGATATAAAATTAACACCCATAAATCAATTGCTTTCCTATACACCAATGACAAATCGGCTGAAAAAGAAGTCAGGAGAACTATTCCATTCACAATAGCCTTAAAAGTAACAAACAAACAAAAAACCCTTGGGAATCAGTCTAATAAAAGAGGTGAAAGACCTATACAATGAAAACTACAGAACATTAAAGAAATTGAAGAAGACCTTAGAAGATGGAAAGATCTCCCATGTTCTTGGATAGGCAGATTAATATTACCAAATGTGATGAAGGCATTCCTGCACCCGTTGCCTGACAGGGTCACAGCATGGGGAATGCTGTGGCAGGGCTGCACCATCTATAAACCAGAACCATGGGGAATATTAAGTGTTTGGTTTATGATATTCATAAAAGTTTTGGTTTATGACATGGATAATAGGGCATATGTCCATCAACAATAAAAGTACATGTTGCCTGAGATTGCAGGAAAATTCCCAGAATGAAACTAAGGATACAATTAAAACATGCAACAAGGTGTGTTTCGATATCTCTCAGGATACAAACAACAGTGTTATTCCTCAAGAAATTTATGGAACAAAGATTGCAAATCAAGGTTCCTGAGAAAAGCACAACAAAGTGGATCAAGGACCTAAGCATTAGACCACAGACCCTGCTCCTACCAGAAGAAAAAGTAGAATCAAATCTCCATCATGTCAGTTTAGGAACCGAAATTCTTTTTTTTTTTTAATTTTTTATTTTTTTATTGATTGTTCACAACATTACAAAGCTCTTGACATATCATATTTCATACATTAGATTGAAGTGG